GCATCTCCCAAAAATTGTGTGACTTATGGAAAAAAAAAAAAAAAAAAAAAAAGAGTTTACATCAAAGAATGTCATATTATGATATTGCAATGATCAAGAGCATAAAAACACACCGAAATGTTTTGGTCACTAATAGCTTTGCTTTGGGTCATCATTTCCTATCAGCCTGTATGTCTCAGTAGATCACTTATTTCACTCTTAATCTGTCCTGAAACTTGATTAACAAAGTCTTCCGGAGTCCAGGTCTGATCCAAAGTCAATTCAAACCCATGGAAAAACTGTACACTTTATGTTCAGGTCCTTTCAGACATAATACCAAGGAAACCCATGCAGCATGAATTTCTGGGAGTCTCTGTTTACGTCCAGTAGCCTCTCTCTGTATCACATCCAACTAAAGATTGTCACACAATGCCACACGAAGACAGCAGCTGACTAGTTGGCAATTATTGGCTCTTTCATGCTGAAAATGTATTTGTCCCAGGGGAATATGGCATCTGCATAATTAGCAAAAGGAGTTACACAAAAAATAATTAGCTTGCTGAAAGCCCAAAAGGGGAAAAACTATAATTTTTGCTTCAAGAGGCTGACTAATTATATGCCAAATAATAAAACAGAGATGCACTGAGAATCATCGAGAAATCCAACATGGATTTTAACTTCATATTCTAGCTATAAGGGCTGCTGGTAGCCTAGCAACAAGCAGCGTACTTCAGCATGCCAAAACCTCCCTCTCACTTAATGAAACACCTCAGATTACTATGCAAACCTCCCCCACCCCAGTACACATTTGATTCTTGTATTACTAAATGATAAAAACTAAGCCTAGCCAAAAAAAATAATCAAGCAATTCAAGATAAACTCAAAGAAGCACTAACGGACCACAATATAGAAAAATAAGTAAATATAAAACATATGAATAATTTTCATAGAATTAAAATTCACATTCTGATTAGAGTTGATTCATTAGATTTATTCACAGGATCAGAAAATGCCCTATTATTTTAAGCACCTTTTCTAGCAGACCGAGTAAGATTTCTGTTTGTTTGTGTCTTAGGAACCATTAGTTAAGAAATCTTTAACAATTTACAGCATACTCACTAATCTCCAAATTACTCCTGGTATACAAATAACGCTGCTGCAACTGCTTGCTTTTACTTGAATCCTCAGTGAGCCAGTAGAGGAAACCATTATTCCAAACACCAGTCTCAGAGCTAAGAGACCAGTTTTAGTCATCGTTCTTCTTTGACCAGTTCTTTTGCCGTATTTCAGCATTTCGGAAGCCACAGCTGCTTTCCCACCTGTCCAGTACCGCTATGTTCCACGCTAAGTCAGGTTTGACAACCACTTTCAAGTCTTCTTGTAACTGGCACGACTCCAGTGCCCCTGGGCCAGGCTCAGTTATGAGTGACACTTTAGCCAACAGCTTGCTCCTGGTTACCCACCCAACCTACCCATCAAAGTAGTACAGATTCACCATATTCACCTGTAAGATCACATAAAAATAAGTTAGACTTGATCTTTGCTAGCGAGCTGGGAAGTTGTGACATAACTTCAGTTAACCTTTCCGTTTCAGAGGCATGCGTTAACCCTAAACAACAGAAAGCCCTTCCCCAAGGAGCAAAGTGCGTTACTTTTCAGCTGGGTCCGTTCTGCAGTCAGTAGGCACCCAACATGGGGAGCAGCTCGGGGAGAACACCCAGCGCGAGGGAGCCGACACTGCTCCTCCCGCGGTGCTGTTTTATACTGACAACGGCTTACAGACTGCAGTCTGCACGGACATTTGCCCATCTGCCTCCCCAAAACCTCTGGGACACTCACCCAGCCTGCGCAGAGCTAGAAATAGTACACGCTAGCTACAGAGAGGGACTAACACAACTAAGACGAGGTACAACTGCACCGTGTTACCTGAAGCCATCTGATCCAGGTCATATAACACAAAGGTCAAAATATTTTTCATGTGTTCGCCTGGTGGAGTTACAATCTGAAAGGAGTGGTATTAATGATAGCACATAGACACCCTCTCATCAATACCATACTCTGCCAGACCCAAAGGATTAACAAGACTGACAGCAATTTCCTGAGAAAGGCAAATCTTTCGGATGTGCAATATTTATCATCATCTTCCCTGGTGACTCTGACAACTGCTGAAAGTGTCACCTTTGTTCAAAAGCTGCAGGAGGTGTCAGGGACACAAGAAACCTGACAAACTTAGCTTGTCTTTAGGCCATAACAAACTCGTGACCATGGGTGAAGATAAGCCTCCTCCACTGGCTTACACAACCTCAAACAGATAAACTGAAAGTTGCACAGAGCTGTTGACGCATTAGGTATGGTGAGCATGTATGTTGCGTTTGTGCTGTGCTTGGAGGGTGAGGAAGAAGCAAACCAGCCTACAGCACCGTAGGAAACTGAACCCTCCCCTCAAACACACACACAAAAGAGATACTAATACTAATGTTCTCATTATTAGCTTCACAAATCAGAACTACTTTAAAATTAACTCATGCAACTACAGACTTTTTTTATCATTAGGGAAGATGAAAAGGTTCTGGCAGTGCAATGGGAGATTCTATCCTTCCCATACCTTGGTCTGTGACCCCTTAACACTCCTCCAACTCTTCCCAACTCCCTTTCCCCCAGGCTACTTTTTGGTCTCAATGTCCACACAGGAGACTCAACAGAGGAGAAATGCTAACACACACACTCTAGGGATTGCTTCCAGCCACAGTGCAAGCAAGGACAGCAAGACATCAGCAGATCAGGCTAAGCAGAGTGAGGAAGGCAGGAGTACTTGTGTCTGGAAGCACAAAAAGCCTGTCGATGGAGTCAAGGACATGAGAAGGTGCATAAGGTCTCAGTTAAACCTTCTAATTACTCAAAACAGTGACAGAGGAAGGGACAGTAAAAGAAAAAATAATTCTCAATGAAGCCTAAAACTAGTAGATCTAATACACATAGATGCTTTACTTGAACTTATTAAAAAAAAAAGTTCCCTATGGAATCTTTCCTTTGCCATTTCAAAACAGATGGTTTGCTTTCTCAGAAAGAGATGACACTAAGAATTGTCTGCCCAGAAGAAGTCATCCCCACTGTGCCATCTTGCTTCTTTTGATGTTTTCCATGGTGCCAGCATCCTTGAATCACATCACAGCATGCACTAGGATGTTCAGTCTAGAGAACCACCTCCCAAAAGCCAAGGAATAGCATGTGACATCTCCGGCAGCGTTCTGGGATGTGTAGATGCCAAAATGATTGCACAGCTAAAACTTGCACTGCAAATAAGTTAACTCTAGTTTCTTGCTCCTCATTTAAGTTTATTCTTACATCTCTCTCGCCTATTTCATACTAAATAATCAGTTGTGACATACCCGACTTTCTACTACGATCACCTTCATTTGGATTAGAAAAACCCTCTGTATACTTTGCTTAAATTTGGCTAGGGGCACATTAAGGTCCAAAATCTTTCCCTCTCTCCCGAGAGAATAAACCCAACAGAAATGCTATCCACAGTCATCATTCCACCACAGCATTTGTTTAAAAAGACCACGTAGCAATACATCTCACCACAGAGCACAAGTCTGCCTCCTCAAACTCCAGACAACAGCAACCTACATAGCACAATGATACATGAAATTAACTTTTTATTTTTTGAAAGCCCATTCTATTCCACTACTAGCAAAACAAGAATTCTACCTTCACCTAGCCAAGTGGAAAGCAGAGAAGTTGGATCAGCAGTTAGGTTGTTTCAGTTTGAGTTAAGATTTCAGAACAAACACCTGGAGGTTGTAAACCTTAAGACATTTGCTAAGGGATTAAATGTTTACCTCCCTCTATTTTAAAAAAAGTACAAGGACATTAGTTTCTCAACTGCACTTTTTTGCCACCGTAAGCCTCACCTACCTACACAGCCAATATTTTCCCACGTTACACAAAAGCATACTTTTAACCCATTCCATTACAGAGGAACCTGCACTAGGTCTTTATCATTCCCAAATGTCCAAGAGAATATCGCAACACATTTCTGAATAATCCAAAATATAACTTCAGAATTTTCAAATAAGTCAATGTTGTTATTTCCTGCAGGGATGAAGTTTACTGTATTTTTAAAAGGATAGGGCAAGAAGAATGGTGCCTACAAGTGAAAAAGGGACTGTTTCCAATTTAAAAGAGCAGAGATCTCTCTGCTTTCTTGGCTTCCGAGAGCATGGCGGGAAGGACTGGGGACATCACCCCTCCTGCTCTTGGCCTTGTGGAGGGTGAGCACTTCTGGAGTGCTGCACATTCCTATCACGTTCTTCATCACTGCCCTACTCGGCTGTTGGCACCAAGATGAACTCCCTCACCAAGAATTCTCTCAAAAATCTATTCCTAAAAAATGAGCGATACTAAAAATACTTTCTAGCTCATAAGCTTATCTATAAGAAAAGCAGTAATAAAAACTTGTTTTTAAAGAAAGCAAAATACTAGTTTCAGACAAGACAGACAGAATTAAAGCTCTGATATGGGTCTTTGACGATCAGTCATAAACACACAAAGTATGCAAACTTAGGAACTGCAAAATACAATCCCTAAATAACATGAGCTTTAAATGGTACATTACTACATTAATATGTACACTCTCTGTGCTATTTAGGGCATTAAGCTGAAGGGGCTTCTTCTCTTAAATTACTATTTAATTTACCTTATGAACAATCTAAAGATGTACATGGACTTGAGAACAGAAGATACACAGTTCCCTAATGAAACTCAAGAGGAAAAGGACAGCTCTAACACCTTCTGTTCTTGAAAGTTATGCTTCATTCTCCTTCTGTTACTGCTAGAAAGACAGAGCAATTAACTAAGCATCAATTTTATTTGCTGCAAAAGCTATGCATATATTTCTGAACAATCATCCATACTTGTTTTCCCTAACAGAATGCTTGCTCTGAGTCCATTTGAATGCCTCACCAACTGGAAATTGCTAAAAACACCAAAAAGAGAATACAAGTACTTCTACTCACCACCCGAACTCTGGATCATGTTTCCAGATTTTTGGACCTCATCGAATTTTGTAAAAATTACATTCAACCTGTTTGAAAGTTAGAGAAATACACAATGAACAGCTGAATTTAATTTTTAGGAATCTTCTAATTTAAGATGTTATAGGACAAAATTTTGCTTTACTCAGGTGATTGGGAGCACTGTCAAAAATGTCAGGAGGAAATTTATTTTAAAATTTAAAAAGTATCACAACATGCAAGAGCTGATAAGAAAAACTGAGAAACAACTGATACCATGGAGGTGTAAGAGATATAACTGGAAATACTACATTACTGAAGATATGACATGTCTAATTGTAGATGCGTTTCCAGTTCATTACCACTTCGCCTATCTTAACTGTTTGCAGAAATACCACCCAAAACACCCCTAAAACCATTTGTCTTTGGCCCTGACTTCTCTCCCATTCATGCCACAGGCCTGGTGGAGCAGAAGATCCTTAATCACATCTCATTATTCCTTCCCAGAGCGTTTACTACTTTAAGCCACATTGTGGCAGCAGATGTTTTCACTGGGGAACAAGAGGCAACAGTACTGCCTCCCCCCTCTGAAACAACCCCTTCCCTCCTCCCTCTGTGCACTAACACGCTGCTGTCTACTCCATCCTCAGGTCTAACCATGTTCCACCCTGCACACTGGAGGCTGCAGCAAGTTGCAGAGCAGCTTTTTCACCACACCTGAAGCGGCAGAAGCAGAGGGACAGAGTTTTGGTGTGGTTCTTTTTTTTAAATAAAGCCTTGGAACCGATGATATTGACTGTGGCGTTTTTTTCCCTTTATGACAGCCTTCTAAGTTGCATAAACATAGGTTACTCTGAAGCATCACAGAATGGTTTGCTTGGAAGGGACCTTAAAGACCATCTAGTTCCAGCCCCCCTGCTGTGGGCAGGGACACCTTCCACTAGACCAGGCTGTTCAAAGCCCCATCCAACCTGGCCTTGAACAATTCCAGCGAGGGGGCATCCTCTCTACACATGCAGAACATACAGGAAAAACACCACATTAAATCTTCAATCAGTTAACTACACATCTGTAATAGTTTCATTGGTTTCCCAAAGATGCTGTGGCATACCTGGGCAAAGGTACAGGATCCACATTAAGTGAAAACTGAGTAAGTGTTTGTAGGATGAAAAAAACTAAACCCTGATCCAAGGAAAAGGTTCAGTCATGCAGCTCCCAAGGCCTTCTAAAGGAAGGAAGGGAATAAAAAGCTGCCCCAAAATAGTGAAGACATAAGGACAATCTCAACTTACCGAGATTGGGGTAATCCTTTTTTACTGAGATCAGCCCTTACACGTTCACCAACATGTCTGTAAATTTCCACAAGGCTGTTTATTGCTGCATCTCGAACCTGAATTGAGATATGAAAGAAATCAATCATCTTTATAATTTAAATGAATAAATCCTTGCAAAAAAAATGCGTATTTCTCAGTAGCAACAGTTGCCACTATACACGTTACCACAGAGTTCACGAAGGAGCTTTCACCCCTGCGTTTCAGGTATTAGGGGTATCAGCAGGTCTAATTTAATTGAAAAGGCAGTCAAAACATAAGATGAAAGGTTTCATATATAGACACACACACAGGGAGCTCAGCTGCCTTTGCCAAACTCCACTCATTGTGTGGAACAGGTAAGCTTACTGGATCAAAAAAAAGGAGACACACATGAATAGATCTTATGCTGCCAGTATGTTATAAGACAAACTGATTTTTAATGTCATCTTACAAACTTATGTTTCTGTGTTGATAACAAAATATGGAGGGAGGTAGGAGTAATCAATCACTCGAGTCACTGTGAATTGTGCAAGTTTCCCAAACTGATTTGCAACAAATTGCTGAGCACATCCTTCCCGCCACCCAACAGAAGAGCCACAAATCTGATTAAAGTGTCACCTTTCTGTACTGAACCTCCTTCCTCCATCAGACACAGCAGGCAGAAAAGGTAAACTATCTGCTTTTCCTACAGAAATACCTATGGAGCCATCCACTTCTGCTTCTCAGAAGATAGTCTGGCAGCTACTGAAGCACCCACACACATCAGGACTAGACACAGGATATTTTGTGGGCACAAGCTAGAATCGTCTACAGGTAGGAACCAAATGGCAGGCACACGTGCCCTGCTTCCTGGCAAAAAACGTTACACTTGACTCATGCTCAGCTTGCCCCATTCTCTTGCTCCTCAGCCTTCCCGTTCAGCAGATCACTGCCAGTTTCCAAATCTCTGCCTTCACTGACGCCAGCCCTTACTCACCGGTCTCGCCTCTCTTCTCTCTGCCCATCAGCCCCATAGACCACCAGGTAGGACTTCTGGGCACAGTTCAGGAAGGACTCTTGGGTGTCCCCAGTTTCTGGGTATGCAGACCTTAACCCAGCCTCGCTCTCCGCCTCTGACAGACAAGGGAGGAGAGGTGGCACCGTCTGCATCTCGCACGCCTGCGGCATGTCTGCTTACCCCGGGGCCCAGACCTCCACACCGACAGCAGGGGCATGGCAGCCATGGCACGTCAACAAGCTCTGCCATACCCCCAGCCTGCCGCCACGTCCCCTCCAGCCGGGGCACACAGTCCAGCCGATCACAGAGGTCCTCACTGGGTGATATGGAAGGATTGCCTCCGTGTGTCAAGTTAAATCAGAGGTACGGTTTCAGGACTGGGTAAACCCCATATTGGGTAAGGCAAGGAGCCCCTTCTATCATACTTGGTTTAGCCCACCACAGCTTTAACACTCTATTTTTGAGAAAACAGCCATAGTTTAAACATTGCTGCCACAGTAGATGCTCACTGGGTTATGCAGTTGCATCAGCTGAAAACGAAAAATCTGAAAAGGGCAGTAACAGTAACACTTCTGCGTCCACAACAAAAGGGAAGAACACTGCACTTGGCCTGGATCTGTGTTTCTCCATCCTCTCTCCCCAAGAGGTGGCAGCACTGACCGAGCAGCAGTCCTCCCAGAGCTCAGGGGAAGGCTCTGGCAGCACAGCAGCAGCCCTCCCGGGAGCCCAGGACCAGCCCCTGCCCCAGGACAGGCACTGTTCAACCAGGAGCCACTTTGACAGCAATTTGTGTCTGGACAATTCGGGCATGGACTTTCTGGGGATGAGGAACCAGACCCAGGAGAAGAGACAAGAGATCAGCCTCATTTCCCCCTGCAGTTGGCTACTGGGATAATGAGCTCTGCCAGGCACATGGAAGAGACAGCGCGGAAGGAAAACCTGTCTCCGTGTCCTCACCAACTTTCTGATTCATTAAATGGCTCAGCAATGGCTGGACCAAGGTGTCTGCCTGTGCAACTAGTCCAAAGTCCTAAACCCAGTATCTCCTTGAAGAGTTAACAGCTTGCTCAGTCACAGCTCAGAACTACAAAGGACCTTGAACATTAAATTTCCTTAGAAACTCCTTGGGGTAACAGGTTTATCCTCCTGCGTTGGCACAACCAGCAAGGGAAGGCTGCTTCACACTCAGTCCTCCTCCTCAGCAAGGGGAGGCCCTGACAGCCATGGGAACAGGCCAACTCCCCATGGCCAGCATAAATCCATTCCCCAGCTGGCCGGTCCGCACTTCCTTCCAGCTAAACACCCACTCCAGATGTGGATCACAAACATGTCATCCATGCTGGGAGGGCAACAGGGATATTCAAGAACTGCTAATACACGTTACATGATGTAAGTTTGAACCCTGCTTCCCCACTCCCTTCTCATTAACCTCACACATTGGCATCTAATTTCAGCTTACATCCTGTCCAGGGCAGGACAGAAAAAAAAAAAAGAAACAACAAAACACATAGAAGTGACAGATTTTTTTCAGCATGTATTTTCATTTGGCTTGCATCACTTATTTAAGGTTCCTATACAGCTTGCCTTCCCTCCAGCCTTTATTCAGAATCTCCCTGTACAACTTCTGGCAGCGCACACGTCCGACTGGTCTCATTTGCACTCCCTGCCCAGACTGGTTCTTCTCTGAAGGTGAAGGGTGCTGCACCGAGCCCAGAGGGATCCCTGCAGCTTCCCCTGCATTCGGGCTGTAAGGTACAGCAGTTCCCTTCACACAAAGGTTTCCTGCTCTGGTCACCTCACCTGCATATTCATGTTGTTCTGTTGAACTCTTGGAGTAATTGATACGCTGGTTTAGGCATACTTCAAATCATACCTCTTCAAAACCAGCCAAGGGATCTTCATGAACAGCATTGTTCAGAGTTCACCACCAGCAGGACAATTAGCTAATTTACCAGCCAGAACACAGAGCCCCACTTACCAACAAGGCAATCAGCACAACCTTTAGATGTGACTCACAGCAAAAGCTTACCTGGCTGTTTGGATCTCCAAGTAAGTTACATATATGTGGCACTATCTTACTCAGTGTTAAACTCTGAGCTCCAGATCTGGGAATAAAGAACAAAAAAGCACTGGTGTGAATCACAGAGCAGTCTTGTGTACATGATGTAGGTTTACAGGAGGCTCCCACTTACGCATTGAGTGTTGCAATAAGGCAGAGGCAAATCCCTTCTCTTGTCCGGAAATTCTTGTGTTTGAACCCTCCCAGCATCCTGTCCCACACGTACTGTGGAAGACAGAAAAGAAGGTGAGACAGGAAAAAAAAAGGAGGTGAGGGAAGAGACAGATACTTTCTTCTACCACTGCAACATCTCTGGAGCTTGAATATAAGCTTTACATCCATCCAAGCAGAACAGGACAAGAAGTACAAAGACACTTCTAGATCTGCCTAATTCTTTGTTCTGTGGTGACTTCACAGTAACTCCCCACTACCTAAACCAATACTTTTACTTACAGAAAACAAGTACCTTCCAAAGATCCAGAACAACTACTCTGACATTCACCCATCCCGTCCTTGGGAAATCCACTGACACTCACACTCCCATGTGCATCCTGACATGCAACAGCACTCTCAAGTGACACAAATATCTCATAACAAGGCATAAGGAGATGAAGCCACTTCCAACAGACCCACAAGAGAAAACCCTCTGACAGAAAAAAGTTCTCCTTTTTAAACAGCCAGTCACTCACTCACACTGCAAACGGTTGTTGAGCATACCTGAGGGTTAGCAGCTTGTTCCATGATTTTTAGCAGCAAGGTCTGATCCTGCTCCCTCACTGAGTCCTTAGAGTCTCCCAGCCTATCAAGTAAACTTGGCAGCACTGAGGAAAGAAAAGAGAAACATCCAAAACCCTCAGAAGAAAACTGTCGCCGTGGCACAGCCCTTCTGCTCTCCCCCCACCTGATGGAGGGACCAGCCCTCCCGCCCTTCAGCAGAGCCTGAAACCACCAAGAGCCTCCCGAGGGCTCTCCTGGGGAGAAAGACAGCTTTGTGTACAGCAGCCGGAGCAGATCCCAACTGAGCAATGGTGACATCCCCCTCCACACACACACACAGACCCCTTACCTGTGCCAATCTGGGCCTTGAAGCGATCTTGCAAGCGGGACACTAGCGCGGAAAGGATGTCAATCCCCAGCAGAACCACCTGTAAGCACAGGACAGACGGTGTTTTAGCACGCAGCCCTTTGGCACCCGAGCGGCAGCAGCGCCAGCACACGCTCCCCTGGGAGAAGGGCCCCGTCCCACCCGCGCCGTCGCACCGCTCCGGTAACAGGGTTGCACAGATACACACAACTCTTCTTTGCATGGCTTCTGACAGACAGGCCGAGTGGTTTACAAACAGAAAACCCCCCAAATTACAGCTTCCTGTGACATTTACAAGCCAAAATTCACTGCCAAGACCTTGACAAAGCCAACAACTGTAATTGCCGCTCAAGGCTAACGTCATACTCGTACATGTGCAATGTATGCACACCACATGCGGAACAATTTCAGTATTTGCTGTAACTAACATTTCTAATTAATTGTAATTATTACACTTATAATTAGGAAATGGTGTGCACTAATGGCTGCGTAATTACTCACCTGCAGAAATTAAACCCAATACTTTTATGACATAACTGAAACCTGGGGAAAGGCGCCTTGCTGAGAGAAGCTTCTCAAGGACAGGCTGCCGATCAGACAACCCATTCTGATTAACTCCATTTAACAGCTACAAAACCCCACATTACACACTGAATATACTGTGTAATTTGTATACTAAATACTTGGCAAGACCCTACAGATCCTGATCATTCTGGTACGAGACAGCTCCCCATAAGTTTTTAGCGAGGCGCCGAGGTTAGTAACCCCTGGAAGCG